AGGCTGAAGCAGGAGGATCTCATGTTTGAGGCCAACCTGAGCTATGTATCAAAACCCTGTCTCAGAATAAATCTTATGAAAGGACAGAAAGAATTTTAGAGCGACTTAACAGATCCATCCTACTTTTAGCTGAATGTTGAGGATTTTCTCACATACACATTAATTTGTTCCCTGTTCCCTGCCTAGCTCAGTATTGTACATGACAGGTCCTAGGAATACTTGCAGATTTATCTTTGGCTCTTCATATACAAGAAGAGTCTATTTTGGGGTGATTTAGATGGGGAAGGAGCATATACTCCATTGTTCAAAAGGATTAAACACTTCTGTAGCCCCAGAGTACTTAAAATAAAACAATTTCATTTCATTTTCTTAAATCAAAGAGCCACAGAAGCACCCTCTCCTTACCAAAGCAAGTGCTCTTTGAGGATTTGGGGGCTAAGGAATGAAGCCCTTATCTTCTTGCTGTGTTCTTTACTGTGGTTTTTCTTCCTGTGAGAAAAAACTGCAACAGCCTAAGGAATTTTATGTCCTTTGAGGGAGTTTTCAGGAGGAGGAAGGGGGTGGGTGGGTAGATATTTAAGTAGGCAACAGGAGACAGAGATGTGGGGAGAGCCCTGCAGATGGTCTGCCTTCACACTTTGTATCGGTTGGGAGGACTAGAATGTAACGTGCTTGACCTGCTGGCTATTCTTTTCTTTTTATAAATTCCTACTACTGGGGATTGAACCGAGAGCCTTGTGCACATTAGGCATACACTCTAATGCTGAGCTGTAGCCTCAGCCCCTCCAGTTATTCCTGTCTCTTAGGTGGCATTGGTGGGTCTTGGCACTAATTGCAGAAACATGAACAGCAGTGCTTGGGCAGATAGTGAAGGGTAACAAAAGCAGTTGTCTCTGACTGAGTTAGTGACCGTGGCCCAGCCCTGGTGCTAAGGGGTCCACATGCATCGTATCAGCTAGTTTTTTTTTTTTTTTTTAATAGAAAGACACAAATGGTGAGAGCTTTATTTAGTTGGATTAAAGAAAAAGGCAAGCTTTTGTAGCTAAATTTTGTTCCTGTGCCACCTTTTAGGGTTCAACCATGACAGGTATTTGGAAGGAAAGGGGACAGAAACTGACCCCTCTGGTGTTTGAAGAAAACTGCACACATCTCCTGTTCTAGTTAAACTGCCAAACTAACCTTAACTGTCCCTCAAATGTAGAGAATTCCAGACCTCTCGGTGGTTCCCTCGCCCTCTTAATCATCCTCCACTTTGTTAGTGCCCTCCTCATAGGGGGAATAGATATGTCTCAAGTCCCCGTGAGTGCCTCACAGATGTCATGAAGGAAGCTCACAGGTCTGGCAGTGTAAGGCTGCCACTCTCTAGTTCCAGGCCATCAACAAGAAGCTGCTTCAGCCACATTGCTGGCTGGGATTTGTGGGGGGTTGTTGTTTTACATGGGGTCTTACCATGTTGCCCAGGCTAGCCTCAGACTCCTCCACTCAAGCAATCCTCCCGCCTCAGCTTTCCAAGTTGCTGGGATTATAAGTACACGGCACCAGGCTTTAGTTTGCTCTTTTGGTTATCAGTTTCACGGAATACTTTTGTTATCTTTGTACTTTCAGCCTGTATGTATCCTGCAGGCTAAACTGGGCCTTTTGTAGGCATCACCTTGTTGGATCTTGTTTCTTTCACCCATTCAGCCACTTTGCTTTTGGGTGGAGAATTTAATTAATTTACAGTTTAAAATAACTCCTGATGTGCAAGGACTTACGTTGCCACATGGTGAATCTGTTTTTAATTCTTCTACTTTTCCACTGTCTTGTGGCTTATTGATTAATCTGTAGTAGTAAGCTTTGTTTTTTTTTGTTTGTTTGTTTTTTTCTTTGTCTTTTGTGTGCCTGGTAGAGGTTTTTCATTGTGGTTACCAAGAAACACATAAAATAACTTACAATTATAAGGCTCTATTTTAGGGCATGGTGGCACATGCCAGCCATCACAACACTCAAAAAGTTGAGTAGGAGGATTGTAAGTTCTAGGCCAACCTGGGCTACAGAGCAAGAAACTATTCAGCTGTTTGTATAACCTCTGGAACTTGGAAGGGTACAAGTTGAGAGGAAGAGAGAGTGGGGGAGGGGAGGGAGAGGAGAGAGGGCAGGGAAGGAAGAAAAGGAGAGACAGAGACTGTTTTAAACTAATAATAGGGCTAGAAAGATGGCTCAGCGGTTAAGAACACTGGTTGTTCTTGCAGAAGACCTGTGTTCGAATCCTAGCACCCACATGGCAGCTAACAACTATCCTTAACTGTAGTTCCAGGGGATAGATCCAAAGGTCTCTTCTGTCCTCTGTGGGCATTGCACAACATGGGTGCACTTACCTACATGCAGGCAATACACATACACATAAAAATAATAAATAAAATTTTTAAAAAGTAAACTAATAATAATTTCAATCACATATAAACTCCACACCTTACATTTTCTTTCACTCTATATTTTAAGCTATATGTGTCACACTTTACATCTTTTTATATTTCGTGCCCATTAACAATTGATTGTAGCTTTACTTTTTTTGTCTTTTAACTTTCACTCCAAAGTCAACACTGATCTACATATCACTGTTTCAGTTTGAGAGTATTCTGAATTTGACCACTGTTTTTCTTACCAGTGGGCAGGGGTATGTATACCTGATACGTTTTCCTATTGCTGCTTAGCACCCTTTAGTTTCTGCTTGAAGAACGTCTTTCCGCACCTCTCACAGGCAGGTCAGATGGTGATGGACTGCCAGTTTCTCTTTGGATGGGAACATCTTGTCTCAGCCTCATTCCTGAAGGACAGCTTTGTACACTGCAGTGTTCCTGGCTGGCATTTAAATTTTTCTTTCAGTCCTTCAAATACATACCCTCTACTCTCCTGACTTGCAGAGTTTCTTCTGAGAAAAAAGCTTTGTGAGAGTTGGCTTGTGTGACAAGCCTTCTTCCCCTCGCTGGTCTTTCGAAATTCTCTTTGTCTTTGGCTTTTATGAATTTGGCTATGATCATTCCGAATATTCTTACTTAGGCTGCTCTTGCTTGACATCTAGGTTGTCTATTTCTCTTCCAAAATTTAGTTTCCTCTTTCTGCTGCCTCTGCATGCCCCTTATCAATTCCAGTCTCTTTTTCGTATTTTTGATTTTTGTTTTTATAGTTGGTCAATTTAAAATGACCTGTCTTCATTTTCATCAATTCTTCTTACTTATTTGTTGAATCCACTGTTGAAAGTCCCCACTGTGTATTTTCAGAGCTTCTTATGATCTTTTGCAGGATTTCTGGTTCATTCTTTTGTTTGCCCAGCCTCTTTTTCTTTCTTGTTTAGACTAATTTTGTTCACATGGCTTTCCCAATTTGGTTTCTGCATCCTGTTGTGTGTCATAGGCTCCTTATGGTGATTCCTTTTGGATTCTTTGCTGGGCAAGCTGTAGATCTCCATTTCTTTAGGGATGTTGTTAGCTTCCTTTGGTGGTGTGGTATTTGCCTGATAATTCATTATCTGTTAGCCTTTCGTTGGTGTCTGTGCATCCGGCTAGCAGCGTCCTTTGTGATCTTTATTGTCTGGCTTGGGCAGGTAATTGCCTTCTCTTTTTGATTCTCCAGATGAATAGGATGCCTCTGGCTTCTGCACCTGCTGCCGGGTCCTCAGCAGCATCTATGCCGGGCTGGCTTGTTACTGGGGCTTCAGTGGGCTTCCATTCTTTCTAGCCTCTCAGATGACTGTTGTCTCCTGGGTCTTTATTCCTGGGATTGGTACTGAATGAAGGCTTTACTTAGGTTCTGTAGTTTGGTTGAGAGATGGTGGGCCTGTTTCCCAGGTATGCACACAACTGTGGTCCATAGGAGGGCTCCTGCCAGAACACGGCATAGGTTTCTTGGTGTGGCAGGACTGGCCCTGGGCTGCAGCTGGGAAGGGCTAGAGTTAAATTACCAGGATATTTCAGAGTTCACAACAGAGACTGGAGTCTACAAAGAGGTACCAGGAACACAGGTGAGTTTGCTTCTGTTTGGTTCCTGGGGAGGCAGGGCTATCCCTGTACCATGGCTTTTGCAGAGCTGAAGCTGGGAAATGGGGATGCTTTAGAATAAGCCTACCTTAGGAGGCCCATGAGGGCATGACTCCTGATAGATCTCTGGATGGACAGGCTGCTTCAGGACTGAGGCTGGGGTAAGATGGAAGTAATCTTCAGTGGGATATGATCAGTGAGCCTGCCTCTGAAGACATGGAGATACAAATCTCCCAGAAGCTCCTTTGGTGGGCTGCCACTGTCAAATGCAACTAGGGCCACTCCAGGGCATTTCAGGATTTACTATGTGGCCAACAATGACTTGACTCCGAGGGCATGGCCTGACAAGACTCCCAGTCAGTCCTTGGGAAGGCAAGACTGCTCTCAAATCATAGCTGAGAGTCCTCAGCTGAATTACAGGGTCACTTTAGGGTCCACAACCATAAGACGGCACTGGATCTGTCACCCGAGACATAGGTGAGATGACTCCTCTGGGCTGTCTTCACAGATGCTCCAGTAGTAGGGACCAAGGCCAATATTTGTGCCTAAGTCCATGGTGCAATGAGAACAGTTCTAGGTCCGTGAACAGAACCACTATCGTTGAGCCTGTCATCTGGGTGCAGGCCTGCCCCTTCGAAACAGTTCTTAGTTTGGATTCAAGGGGAGCACCCGTCTACCTGGTAGTCACTTTAGTTGACAAATGGCTACCAAATCCTTGTGAGTGCGGGAGGGCTGCCTGGGGGAAATCGCTTCTTCATTTGTTCTTCCTTACTGTGATTTCTATGGCAGATGAAGTCAGAGAGCATTGTGCTCTGTGTTTTATTGGATAATGCTGTACTGTATTGCCTGATAATTTAGTATGTATTTAAAGACCACTATTTACTAAGAAATATGGTAAAATTACAAAATAAAATAGCTTCGTAAAAGATTAAATAAAAATAAAGTAGATTCTGGCCAGATTTTTGTTGCTGCTTTTCCCCCCAGAGGTACTTTGACATGGAAGCAGAGAAAGCTGCCTTGCAGGACGCAGCAAGTAGCAAGATGAATTTTTTGGCAAGAAAACTGAGAGAGAAAGAAGAACTTCTTAAGGAGCTGAAGGAGGAGATGGCGGCATGTGAAGAGCTGGGATTCTACAAAACCGTGAGTTTCTTGATACCTATAAGCAATTATAACGTAAATGAAATCATAGATAGCTGCAACCTTGCATTAATAATGGATGAAAACTGGGCTGGGAGACGTTCCGTCAGTCATATGTAAATATAAGGACCCGAGTCCAATCCCCTGCACCCAGGTAATAGCTGGGCCTGGTGGCCAGAGCCTGTGATCACAGCACTGAAGAGGCAGAGATGATGGGGCCCCTCAGGCTTGATGGGATCCCTCAGGCTTTATGGGATTCCCTCAGGCTTGCTGACCAGCCCATCTAGACAAATTACTGAGTTCTAGATTCACTCAGAGATTCTGTCTCAAAACAGTAAGGTGAGCCAGGCGTGGTCATGCACACCTTTGATCCCAGAGCATAGGCAGTGGCAGGCAGTTCTCTGTGAGATGGAGACCAGTTGCAAGTTCCAGGCCAGCTGGGCCTACAGGAGACCCTGTCTCAAAAGTCAAAATAAAAATTAAGTAGAGCGCAATTGAGGAAGATGCCTGATGTCAACATCTAGTTTCAGCTTCCACAGGTATGGGAATACATGTGCATGCCACACACACACATATGCACATACCCATGAACATGTGCACACACGTGCACACACAGAAAAGAATGAAGTTGGCTTGGTATATCTTGGCTATCTCTCCACCATGTAAGCCAGTCCAGTACTTCACTGCTCAATGATACATTGTGAAAAATCCATACCAATGACACAGAAGATCACTGTGATTGTTCTTAAGTTTTTATTTACAGTGGAAATAAAGGAGCCTACCTGTCATTGCCAGAAAACAAATTCCACTCTAGAAAAGTCACATCGTATTTTCGTTTTTGTAATTTCTAAGACTTCCATCCTTTCTTCAGTCAAGATGGGTTAAAAGACAGTAAGCTCGTCTTTTCAAATCAGAGGCTTCCAAGAAGCCAACTTGCATGAAACAGACTTGAGGCAAGAGAAGAAACTTGGGCAAAATCACAGGGACGTGAGATGAGAAGGACCCCTCACTCTGACATCTGGCGGAAGTCTCTTGCTAACGGAGAATCAAGAATTCTAACACAATCAACATTTGCTATAAAGACTGCCAGCAATGTTTCTTTTATACAGAAATATTTTCAGATAAGAATGTTAAAATATCCATAAGCCAAGTGTGGGGACTGAGAGGTGACCCCAGTGTGGCCTCACTCTTCCCTGGGAGTCTCACCAGCAAAACTTATATATCCCTGTAATCTGGAGTTGACCTTATCAATTGTGATTCTGCCCAGAACATCTCATGAAACACCCTGTGAGTTCATTCACCTTTCTTAGCAATCTTTTGAATATAATGACTTTAGAATTCAACAAAATCATATTTATAACTATTGTATGTGAATGAACTGTGACTCTTTTTTATTCTCTTTTATTATTTATTTAATAACCACATGATTAGAAGAAGCATTTCATTACAGCATTAACATATTCAATAACAATTTTCTGAGCTAAGATGAATCTTTTTTCAAAATTGGCTGTAAATTTTTTAGGTTTACAGTTGAATTAAATTTTTAAGTTCACAGTTGAATTAATACAGTCATAAAATATTGAACTCAGCATAAACCGTCTAAGATATAAAATTGAATGAGGTTTTAACCTTTAAAAAAGATCTCCATTTCATTTTAAAATATACTGCTTCATACAGAAAAACTCATTTTTAATGCTACTAACACTTAGATGTTTGCACATGCGTCTCTAATCTCTACGTATCTGATTTTTACTAGCCTGAACTGTGACTCTTAAGCCCATATGCACACTGGGGTGCGTCTCGGTCTTTCCCTGAGCACCTCTTTCTGTTAACCCTCATGTTCAAATGCATGTTAAAAAACTTCTGTTAGGGGGCTAGAGAGATGGCTCAGCAGTTAAGAGCACTGACTGCTCTTGTAGAGGACCTGGGTTTGATTCCCAGCACCCACATGGCAGCTAACAACTCCAGTTCCAGGATGAAGCTGACACCCTCTTCTGAGCTTCACAGGCAGTGCACGACACAGGTGCACTTATTACACATGCAGGTAATACACTCATACACATAAAAAAATAAAAATAATAAATAAATTTTTTTGGTCTTTTTGAGTCAAGGTCTCTCTGTAGCCCCCAGCTGGCTTGGAACTCACTACGTAGAGCAGGCTGGCCTTGATCTCACAGAGATCCGCCGCTTCTGCCTCCCGAGTGCTGGGACTAAAGGTATGTGCCATAAAAACCTCTTTTAGAAAACTCCAGCTCTGTTTCAAACTAGCTCATTCTGAAATTCTTTTCTGTGGCAAAATCAAGGACATGGCTTCTCCCTTGTCCAAAATGCCTGGGACCAGAAGTGTTTCTTCAGCTTTCTATTTTGGATTTCGGAGTGGTTTCATGTACATGATGACATACATACGTTTTGGAGGCATGGTCTCACTGTGTAGCCCTGACTGGCTGGCCTGGAACTCACTATGCAGACCAAGCTGGCCACAGACTCACAGAGATAAGTGTGCTTCTGCCTCCAGAGTGCTGGAATTAAAGGCATGCACCACCACACCTGGCCTGTGATGAGATATCTTGATGGAATCCAATTCCAAATAAGAAATTCATTTTTGCTTCACAGACACTTTATGCATATACTGGAGGTAATTGTCTAAAATGTTCCTAGTAGTTTTGTGCTTGAAACAAAGCTTCATGATATGGAATTTTCCACTTGGGGCATCATGTTGGTGCTCAAAATGGTTCAGATTTTGGAGAATTTCCAACTTTAGATTTTCAAATCAAGGATGTTCAACTTAAGCAGGGTGCTTCATTGATGGTGTCTCTAATTATTCTTACAGCTCGGTTTACAGACCAGAATGCAGAAACAGAAAAGTTAATTAATTTTCCATGGGCACACAGATAGTAAATCATAATGAGGAGCTGCAAACCAGAGTCTCCTTAACCCAAGGTCCCTGCTAGGAGCTGAAGTTTTATAATTTATGATAATAATTTAAGATTGGGGGCTTGAGAGATGGCTCAGCAATTAAGAGCACTGACTGTTCATGCAGAGGACCCAGGTTCGATTCCCAGCACCTACATGACAGCTAACAATCATCCATAACTCTAGTTCCAGGGGAATCTGACCCCCCACTTCTCACCTCCAGGGGCATTGCATGACACAGGGTCACTTACACACATGCAGGCAATACGCTCATACACAAAAATAAATTTTTATTTTATATGTATGAGTGTATTGCCTGCATGTATGTGAGTGCGCCCGTGTCGTGCAATTCCACAGAGGTCAGAAGAGGGCGTCGGATTCCCCTGGAACTGGAGTTAAGGATGGTTCATAGCCGTCATGTGAATTGAACCTGGGTCCTCTGCAAGAGCAGTCAGTGCTCTTAACCACTGAGCCATTTCTCCAGCCCCATGTTTTTTTTGTTTTTTTTGTAAAGAAAATGATTTAACAGAAAACAATGTGATGGGCAGATTTTAATCCAGCCTCAGTGAGGCAGGGTAATTTATTTCCCACTTAGAAAATGAGATGTAAGACCTGCCTAGCTAATGTGGAGTTGTCACAAAAGTACCTACTCAGCTGAATGTCAGCATCTGAGAACTCTTTGAAAAAAAATTAGAATATAAATTCGAGTTGATATGAAGAAATACAGAAGTCCTTATGATCATCTGGTTGCTGTTCCCTAAAATGTGCTGAACAAGCCTTGGGACATTGAGTGCATCCCAGGTCAGAAGAAAGTTCTTTAAACTCTTGAACTCATGTGTGTGTATATGTGTGAAGTATATACATGTGTGCACATGTGTGTGCGGGTGCCAGAGGCTGACATGAAGATATGTTCCTCAAACACTTCTAGACCTTATTTCTCCTCCTCCTCCTCCTCCTTCTCCTCCTCCTCTTCCTCCTCCTCATCCTCCTCTTTGTCCTCCTCCTGCTTCTTCTTCTTGAGACAGGGTCTCTGTATGGCCCCAGCTAGGGTGGAACTCATCATATTGTTTTGCCTGACCTGTCAGTCTTCTTTCCTGTCTCATTCCTTATAGTTTTGACTCTTCCTCATGGCTTCTATCTATGTATCCTTTCAACATTGCTGCTGCTATGCCTCCTCCTCCTCCTCCTCCTCCTCCTCTTCCCCCTCCTCCTCCTTCTCCTCTTCCTTTTCCTCCTCCCCTCCTCTTCCTCCTTCTCCTCCTTCTTTTCCTTTTTCCTTTACTTTTTCTCTCCCTCCCCCTCTTCCCCGTCTCATCTTCTCTTCCTCTGTCCCCTCCTCTTTCCTTCTTTCTTTCTTTCTTTTTCTTTTTTTGAAACTCATCAGCAATTTTATCAGAGCTTAAAAGACACACCCCACTCCTGGGCAGGTGAACTATAATCTCAGCAGCTGTCCAAGGAGAATAGACAGAAGGAAGAAAAGGCGTAGAGATCTGCCACATGGCCGACAAGCAGTCACATGAACAACTTATTTTTTAAATTTGCATGTGTGAATCTATGTGTGTGTGTGTGTGTGTGTGTGTTTCTAGTGTAGTGTATATGTGTATTCATGTTTGTACATGAAGACCAGATGTTGGATGTCTTTAATCACACTCCACCTTATCTTTTGAGGTCTCTCACTGAACCTGGAGCTCTCTAGACTGGTTCAGCTACACTGGCTGGCCAGTAAGCCCCATGATCCACTTGTCTCCACCCCCAGTACACGGGTTACAGGGGCACACAGCCATACTCGGCTTTTACATGGGTGCTGGGGATCTGAACTCAGGTTCTCACACTTGCAGAGCAAGCACATTACCCACTGAGCCATCTCCCCAGCCCATACTCTTGAACTGTTTGCACAGCTACAAGTTCTCATCACATAACTGGTCTGTTATGTTAACTGGTCTGTCTGGAGGCTGGGGGCAAGGGTGAGACAGGATGGTGGCTTTGTGACAGCAGCAATTGGAGGCTGAACCCCACTTAGGAATAAGCAGTCTATTCTGTGGGTTAGATGGATTCCAGAACATCTTGGTTATTCATGATAATAAAATTTGTGGAGGTTGGTAATTCCCACTGTTAGGGTATATAGCTCTCCCCTGGGGACTTCACCAAATGTACCATTGGAGTGACACCCAGAGCACAGGTGTACACCTCACGAACACAGACATGCATGCCACAAAAACAAAAATGCTTTATCTCGATCAATCTGTGGGAAATACTTTTCTAAATCCTTTAAAAACAAATTTTGCTAAAACTGCCACTTATGGTTAAAGTTTTTTGTTTGGAAATATCTTGTACAACTGCCCCCTCTAGTGGTTTTTAAATTCCTCTGAGACTTTGTGGTACTCTGCAATTTGATTTGGAACAGGCTTAGGGGAAAAGTTAAAAGTGATGGTGGTGACATGGCTCAGAGGGTGCAGATGCTTGCTGTAAAGCCTGACAACCCAAATTATGTCCTTGGAACCCGTGTAAAGGTGGAAGGAAAGAATTCATTCTAGAAAGTTATCTTCTGACGTCCCTATGCAGATGTACCCCTCCTGCCTCTCATACACACATCAATAATAAGTAAAATTAAAATTTAGAAAAAAATTTTAAAGAAGAATTCCTTGAAAAGCATTTGAAATAAAATTTTACTTAATCTGTCTAAAATTAATTTATCCTTAGTGATAATCAAGTTGTATCAGTAGCTTTATGGTTACTAAGTAGTCATATTATCTCTTCTGGTCGGTTTCTATGAGAAATCTAACAAGAATGTGCTGCGGGAGGGCTGGAGAGATGGCTCAGTGATTAAGAGCACTGGCTGCTCTTCCAGAGGACCTGGGTTCAGTTCCCAGCACTGACATGGCAGCTGACAACTGTCTGGAGCTCCAGTTCCAGGGGATCCAACACCCTCGTCTGGCCTCCACAACATTGTATGACATGGATGCACTTGCATACATGCAAGCAAAACATTTATACACATGAAATGAAAAAAAAACCAAATAAATTTGAGAGAATGTGCTAGGAAACGATGAGCTCAATAAACAGTTTCAGTTACATGTGTGACAAGTGCAAACCAGGAAGGAGGCATGTTAGTAAAATTTCATGATAAAATTTTATGAGAAGCCTCATCTCCAGATGAAATCACTCTTGATGTCACTTTCCCCTGGGACAATGTCATTCAGAAGGCAAGAGTTCCAGACTTTATTCTGTGGGAAACCAGTGAAACTTAGCTGCAGACTGTTGTGGTCTCTGGGATGCCATGCTCTTTGTTGAATAATCCCCAAGTGTGTGTGTGCATGCCCACGGGTATGCGCCTGTGTGCACCATGCATGCGTGTGCACCTGTACACCATGCATACATATGTGCCTGTGAGCACCACATGTAGACTTCCATCGCAACTGAAGTTCCTGTATTGGACGGACTTTTCATTTTACATTCTAACCCCGATATAGCGGAGTTGTGCAACCATCCTCCACCCACTGATGAACAGATCTGCTTGCTGCTGACAGTACTGAAACAGAGATGTCATTCAAGAGTGACAGCTCTGCAGGGCCACGCCGTCCTAGGGTGCCACTTTCTTGGTTGTCACTCACTGGGGAAGCACCTGCTCTTTGGCTTGACTGTCACGTGGCAAGAGCATGCATCGCAATCCTGCTCCTCCCTCAGCCTCAAATTGAGACGTCCAAGTGCGTGGAGGCCACAGGATTGAAACGCTAATATCACAGAAGGGGACTGCTGAGCAGATATACAGACTGCTCTGAGCCAGGACTTCTCAGGCTACTGTTCCTATGCGTCACCTGCAGAGCTTATTCAGACACAGACCCACATAGGTGGTCTAGGCTGGAGCCTGAGAGTCTGCATTTCCAGCAGGTTCCCAGGTAATGGTGAGGCACCTGGTCATGGAGCACATTGTGTAGGAAGGTTCTGCTTTTAAAAACACGTCTTTTCGGATTCAACATGGGATTCTGAAACCTGGAAACAGAAATGCTGTGTTCACAAGAGTAGTCATGTTTATGCGACCACTCAGAGGCCTGGTTTTTGTAGTGTGATAGAAAAACTCGAGATAACAAGTTCCTTTCTGAATTTAAAATCCCAGGATGATTGTGAACCACACAATCTTAGGCTTTAACACACACCTAACCACCTTTTAATGATCTACAACCTCTTTAACTGTGCTTTATTGATGTAGTTTATTTTAAAGGAGGCTTAACTGGCTTAAGCAAGCCAAAACTAGCAATATGGGCAGATGGCAGAAGAACTGCCATAACAAAACTTGTGGAGTGTAAGAGACGACAGCAGCCGCTAGAGCTGCCTCTTTGTTCCCTTTGCTAATGAGTGTCCTTATTACCCTGGGTGTCTGAATAGTTAATTACTTGCAGTTCCTATGGCTGACAGATGGTGGAGACAGAGCTAAACGCTGGCCTCTGGAGAACCAGGGCTGCAGACTGGTATGTGGAGGAAAAGCCCTCCAGTTTAATGTGCTTTTCCTTGGGTCTTGCTTTCCTACGGAGAGCTTCAGCAAACATTTAGCTGTTAGCTGCAACTGCTGTTCACTTGACTCTTCAAATAGTTCTTTAGCTGCTAATAAAGGGCACTTGGGTCAGCCACTGTGGAGGTCTGTGATCTGCCAGTTAGGAAATAAACCTGTTACACTTGTTTATAAACCAGGCTTAAACCTGTTAAAGTAAATGTTGTCTGTACCAAAAAATCCTTTTAAACCATAATACATTCTGCAGTGGTCTCAAATTGAACTATGTGGGACTGCAGTTCTCAGTAAATGAGAAGGTTGTGTTGTTTGGTAACTACTCGGATTTGTTAGCATTTCTTTAGTTAAGAGTTTATTGGAATCCCAGGACTCTGCTGAGTTTGGAGGATCAAGAGTTCAAGACCAGCCTGGGCTACACAAGTGAGACCGTATTCCAATAATAAGAAATAAATTAATGTAAAAATTAACTGGGATAGAATAATCTGAATGGAATGAAAAGTAAAAGCTTGAAAGATTTGTCCCTCAGTTTAGATTAGTGCAAAACTCAACAGCATATTTAAATACTATTAAATCTGATACATATGATTATAATGTCATTAGCAAGTCACTTTCTGACAAGGGCTTATTAATGCATTACAAAAACATTTCATTCCAACACTTGCTTTTCTTTTGAACCGTTAGGATTGCACAGGAAAGCATTTTAATGATTTACTTCCCAACTCCGCTAAAGAGTACAATTCCAAACTGGAAGACCTTTTCGGTTTTTTGTTTGTTTGTTTGTTTTTTGGTCTTTTTGAGACAGGGTCTCCCTGTAGCCCCAGCTGTCCCGGAACTCTCTATGTAAACCAGGCTGGCCTTGAACTCACAGAGATCCACCTACCTCTGCCTCCCAAGTGCTGGGACTAAAGGCGTGAGCCACCACACCCAATGACCATTTTGTTTTAGAGTATTTTATTCTTATTTATTTTCAATCACAGAGTAGAAGGGATAACTTATAATTCAGCTATGATCACTTTGAAATTCAAAAGTGTTTTAGAGCTGATGGTAGCTCTGAAGCAAGGCATGCAGAATTGTTTTGTCTATTTTGGCATAATAACATGACTCTTATTTTGAGGTTGCATAATCCACGATGTAATATAAAATTCTGCACCAGCCTCTCTGATCCAATACATCTTAATTTTTTTAAATGTGTCCATAAAATGTCAACAGCCATAAGGGAGTATATTCAGATGTTTTCAATAGCTTTGAAACAGACAAGAGGAAGAAGAAAAAGGGAGTAACTTTCCCAATAAGCATCTATATCGTGTAAGAAAAAGCATCTGCCATAATGGACGTGGCAAGACTTAAACAAAAGACGCACATAATAAAAATGTAAATGAGTTTGCTTTACTAAAACTATAACTTTAAAGTCTTTTGTTGTAAGTTATCCTGAAACCTTCTTACAAGGTAATCACTGTTTGCATAGAGATTTAAACTGAAGTCTTCAATAGCATTAACCGCCTGCACAGTCCCCTGTGACAAGCATGGAAAGCCACGTTAATGTTCAGAATATGAATTGCCTCTGGGTGGCTCCTCCACCCAGCAGAAAACCAACTGTGTGGATATCCGCGGCCTGATGGACTCCGTGCGGCTCCCAGCCTGCACACGTCACCACTTTGACATGTGATGGACTCCTCACCACTCTGGCAGCACTGACACTGGGAAATGCCACAAAGGCAACAAGCCCCCCTCCCTAGCCTTGCACTTTGCTACCCCCTGGTGCTGCCCGTCCACGGTCTCCCCCAGCCTGCCTAGTTACGGGGGACAGTGCTTCAGACACACAGAAGTGTGGGTGGAGGGGCCCCAGCTGCCTCCCCAGACACAGCCTCCATAATGAATTGACCTGAATGATGAGGGCACACAAACAGTATGATGTGCATTATTCCTGTCAATAAAAATGTCCCCATGTGCTGGGGTCTTTGTACGGAATGTACTGCTGTCTTTCTTCCAGCCTCTATTTAGTCCCCTTCCTTTTTGCTATTCATATTATAAGTGTGTAATAGAATTCAGAAAATTATATGATAGCTCCTCTCTATCTGCACCACCCTTGTGTTGCATATTTAAATCCTCGGCTCCCTGCTTAGAAATATGGACTTCTCCGTCTTGCAGGATTCTTCTACCAAAGAGCCCAGTTCTCCAAAACCAGAAAAGGACACTGTGGATTATAAACAGGAAAATGAGAGATTGCTTCAAGTAATTGCTGATCTCAGAGAAGAAGTTCAAATGAATATGAAAGAAAATGCAATGTTAGGTAACATTTTAAACCATACTCTTGGGGAAATTCATTGCTATGCTGGGTAAATTTTCCACTCATGCTTATATGTGGTCATTTGCACTGAAAAAATAATCAATTTGAAACCTATCTTTGCTTTTCTTTTAAGATAGCATTCCTTGCTTGAAGCAAAAGATTTATCTAAAACTGTGCTCCTGGGCCACGTATTGTGAACTCAGAGCGATTTTTTTTTTTTAAGCAAACATTAGCCTTGACAAAAGAAGAAAAGAAAAGAAAAGAAGTTCTAATCAGTCGTAATCAGTCAGTTCTATTTCACTTGGAAACATTATAGACAGAAACTTGTGCTGACTTATTTCAAATGCTAACTGATGCTCTAAACTGTAACATACATAAGCATACGTTATTAGGATTGAGATACGCGTGTGCACTAGTAGGCTTAGCACCTCAGAACGAAATGCTAGAACTCAATACGTAATTCAGTCTTTGACACAAATTTTAAATGCAGATTTTTGTTTGAACACTTTATTTTGTTCATATCATAAACACATCATGAACACTGGTGAGATGAGAAAATAGTGTAGTATCTCTTCTGAATAGATGATGCCACGCCAGTGTGGTTCCATTTCTTTTCTGATGGGCTCTGGTAATGCTGTCTCAGGTCGTGGTCTTTCTTAAAGTGCCACCTGCTAAAGCACTTTGCACCGGCTGTGACTAACAGCGGAACTGTCCGCTGTTGGTATCGATGAAAAGCTCACAGCCCTCAGCCACACTTGGTTCTTGAACTTACTTCTTAATCCCTATCTGACCAGCCGTCTGAACAGCAGGAAGAAGGCTGTGAATGTCAAGGGCAGTTGTGAAGGTCACGGTCCTGCTAGCACTTGAGTCCACCATGCCTGCTGGTGGCCTCACAGCCTGCCCCAAAGCAGGCAGCTTGAATACAGGGGCATATGCATGTAATTTCATGGTCAGCCTCTCCCTCCTTTTGTTTACAGAAGATGAACTTATATGCCTGAAAGAGATTGCAGAACAGGATCAGCGGACTATTCAGAAGGTACTGTAACATTCTTACATTGATAAATGACTCTTTTTAAATAGACATATCAGCACCATTGGTCAATGACACCATGGCCAGAGTGTCTTCAGACGTAGAGAAAGTTGACTTATGTATTTCCCATTATGTAAGCTTTGTAATATATTTCCTTGTTATTTGGAATAAAGTGGCTAGTGATGAATAAGAGTTGTCTTTTAAACCCCATTGATGTAGAGAAAATCCTTTGGGGACATTTAAACATCTTATTGGTTGTAAGGAGCTGCAAAGTTATGTGGCATAGAGGGTCCAACATTTACTTGTGGCGGAAAGCATACATCACTAAGAATGAGAATATATTATTAAGTCTTATTTTCAGCTCAGATGTTGGTTGATGTTCTGTTTTTCTATATAGGAATGAATTAGGTTTGCTCGATCAGGTAAGTCTTTGTTTAGAGCAGGAGAGTACCATAAAAATCAGGATTCTATCATGCAGTTAATGCATCAGGACTAGGCCCTGCTGGAAGCTCTTTCAACAATGTTTCCTCCCCTGTGTGGTACTCAAAGCTCTTTGCTGTAATGGTTAGTTTTCCTCATACTGGGAGCCCCAAGAGGGCAGGCACCCTGTGCTGAGGACCATACCTAGTACCCTGAAAAATATTCCTGTAAGTGATTCATAAGAATGTGTTTAGAATTCATAAAATTTACAAATGAAAAAACCCACATCCCCAAATGACTTCAAAGGAATATAAACATTTCCCAATAACTGAACCAACTATCAATTTTGAAGTTAAAATTTGGCAAAATTAAAAACTCAGTTTCTCAATTGCAATGAGCCACATTTCAAAAGCAAGATGGATGTGGGCTGAAGTTTACATTTAGTTTCCAGCCAGGTCTGAATTTACATTGCAGGGTCTTCTTGGAGTTTGCATAAAATTAGTTCTAAGATCCATTGTTACACTGATAGGGCAGCATCCTGTGATGTTTTTCTCAGCTACGCAGGTTTCCACCAAACTATTTCATCTTTTTGGGCTTCACCCAATGTCTGCTATGGCAGCATTGTAAATCCTGTTGGTACAGAGATAACACCAGTGTTTCTGAACAAAGTCTGAATCTTGGGATCAATTTTCTAAGGTTAAAGAGGAAATCTCAGGTTTCTGATTTCACTTAACCTACTAGGGAAATACCACCAATTCATCTAAAACGTTTCTAAAGCCATTTTGTCTGCACTACCCCTAGTGAAAATGAGTCACAGAGGTTCTTAGTCTGTGGGGAACACAATATGGAGTAAGAGCCAAAAATGTCCCCTGTAAGTCACCAGCAGTGAGCTGAAGACATCAGCCACAGGCTGCCTCGGGTTCTAGGTCTGCACTGCCCAGGGGTAGCCACTAGTCACACTAGGTTACTGCACATTTGAAATGTGGCCAGTGTAACCGAGAGAATTCAACTTTATTTTAAGTCAGAATGGAAATATTCGATGCTTGTTTCAATAAATGGAAAAAAACCTTCATATTTTCAATAACGTAGACGTGAATCTGCTTCCTTCTAATCTGTAAATTTTTTCAAAAATCTGCCTGCTCATAAAGATTTAGCTCTCAAACTAAGATTTCCTATAATTGAAAAATACATACTAGATTTAAAAAATGTGAAATGTTTCCCTACTAATTTCAATATTTATAAGACATTGTTATGATAATATTTGGGGTACATTATAACAGACACAATTTATTATTAAAATCACATGTTTACCTCCTTAACAAGGTTACTATAAATCAAATTTTGTGGATGCGACTCACATTGTTGTTTCAATTTCCCAGCTCTGTTCTAGAGGAATGCAGCAGACCTCTTACCAGCATGGTCATCTTTTTAAAATCCTGTGTTTCTCTTTGGCTTTTCTGTACACCCACTGGAATTCCATGCAGACACAAAATATAGGCACATTTATTACCAAGAAGAAAGACTCCAGACCCCAGGATTCCTGTGTCATTTCTAACCCTGTAGGCCCGCTCTTTCCTTCCTGTTTCTCTCTGTGTATATAGAGATAGATAATGTATAGGAAAGCGGTTTGTCAGCTGGAAAGGAGGTCAAACATGATTGAACAAAGGGGAACTGATTTTTGCTGGTTTGTTCCCAATATGCTTCATTAAATTATTTCAGCGGTGGTTATTGGGTACCCCTGAGTGTCACACACTGCAGGGCTGCTGAAAATTAAAATGTAGGTATGCATATGGCATGTGGTGCCGCAGGGCACCAAGTCTAGAGGAGCAGAGCACAGAGCAGGGTAATGGGTCTGTGTTAGAAGTGTGGATATGAAGAAGAGAAACATCCAGAAAGTTCTAGAAAGCCTTCACCAACAATCCCACACTCGCTCACACTATCCTCTTGGGGGCCTACTCGGGTTCACTTTTCCAGGCAAAAGGACAAAGGAGCGGCTACTGAGCATGAGTGCGCGATGGAAGTGCGAGGTGGGTTTTGGATATGGAGTGGCTGGCTAATGTAACAGGAACTAGGTGAGACCAGAGGGCGAGAATCTTTGGTGGTACAGATAAAAAAGGGGGCTGGAGCATGGGGAAGGTAAGCAGGAAAAAAAGAGTGAAAACGGCCAGATCAAAGGCGTCAAATACGATACAGCTGCCTGTTTTGAAGCTGTAGGTGTAATGAGAGACCAGTTGAGAACAGGACTGAGTTTGGGTAAGCTGACTCTTGTCCACTCTCTGGGCGAAGCCCTGTCCAATATGGAACTCAGCACTCACTGCGTTTTATTTCCATTGATCTACTGAGAGGGTCCCTGTACTGTTTTCCAGTCCTCCATCACCTTGCAATCTGTTCTTGGGAATTTCACTGTAGTACGTGGCAGACCAGGTGACAGAGAGGACAAGTGCAGTCTGATGACCAGCGAGGTGAAGGAGCAGTAGGAGGTATGCCCAGCACCGAGGCAGGAGATCAGAAAGGGCTGAAGGAAGAGCACTGAGCTGCTCCCAGAAGAGGGTCAGAGCTAGCCAGGAAAATGATGGGGAAGTCCAGAAGGGAGTCCCAAGGACCATGAGATAGCACCTCTTAAAGGGAAAGCCCTGTGGTTTCAGTAGCAGAGAGCAAGGGGTGGCAAGGGGTGGGAGCACAGCAGGAGAGGGCTACTCATGCCAAGGGTTGAGTATCTTCTGAGTCCACCCAGAAGCCTGGACACGATGCTGGGCTCACATTTGTGTCGGCAAGAGGAACAGGAAAAGAGAGCCCAGACAAAAGGTTACTTCAATGCACCATGGAAAGTATAAAATCTTGAAACAAGGACAGTGACCCTGGAGATATTTATTAAATTAATAAATGCATGACTTGACTGAGTTGAATGAAGGTTTAAATTAAGGTGTGAACTTTACTGATA